TGCTATACATGATCTATACTGGGTGGTCCATCGTGCGATCCACAGCAAGCATTATCCTTTGGAATACTGTCTCACCCGTCTCACCGAAGCGGTAGATAAAGTGAGACTGTTACGAATCAGAATAGGTTGCCCAAAAGAAATCCAACCGTCTAAGTTTGGAATACATGTACCTTTCTCAGTTTCGATGAATTCTTTTTTGATTCTTGTTGTGGACTCTGGATAGCGCGTCCTATTTATTAACAATGCCAAAACAAAAGGTTTGAAGTTTTTTGACCACCTTGTACACAAGCGGGATCAGCTCCCAGAATTCCTCGGAGATCTACTTTTGACTGGCATCGGTAAAGATATTACTGTAATGTTATAATAAGCATTTAGTCGGGAGATGCCATCACTACCAAATTGGTACATGCCAGTCAAACGGAGATCCCGAAAGAATACCGATTGCCAAACATCCTTGCCCGCTATGTACTATACTAGCTACTTTGGCATTATGTCGAGCATGAGAAATCTAGTTATCCTATCAATAAAAATGTTCATTAAACCAATTGAATCGTCCATAATTGATAACATTCTTCTATTTTTCAGGCTTTCACACGTAATTATTGATTTGTGTTAAACGGGTTATCTAAGTTGAATCTAGAATAAATCCAATGAAAAGACTCAAATTAACCAAACATTCTGCACTTTTCAACCTCGTCTTGACCCATCAAGGTATACGGTATATCCAATCCAATACTTTGTATTTTTTAACCTCGTTTTGATCCATCAAGGTAAACAGCATTTTAAATAGGCACTAAATTGTTTCTTTTTGCATATTGAGTTATATATGACACACAAATTGTGGATGGCCTGCCTTTAAGCTTCATTGCCCCCCCCCCCACATACATATAGAATGTCGTCTCTAATGGAAGAAGGAAGGCGATAATTTATTGATGAAAATCTCGAGTATTTTAAGGCACGTATACCCTAACCTTAAAATATTTTTGATTCATAATGGTCTTGCAGAATCAATGGACTTTAATACAAATTATTTTTCGATAACCTGAAATACATCCCCTAGTAGAAAGTAAAGTACCAAATCCAATTTTACTACTTTATTCACTCTATAGGAGCAATTTCCTCAAATCTGAGAAAACAAAAAGGTGGGCGTATCTCAAAAGCTATTGACAGATTTGCAGTGCTCTAACTTAGGAGTAGCAATGCAGACAAAAGGTGATAATGCAATTGCCCAACCCAGGTTCAATATTTATCGCGCTTCAAGCCAATGCAACAATTCGATTTACCTGACATGTACATACAGTTATACATTCATGAACTACATTGCTTGTGAGATATTTTACCACTAGCGGTCGTACAATTTAATGTTTCCTCTTTCAAAAATATCCCAGGATGTAGAAACTATTGTATTCTTAATGAAATTAATAAATAACATATAAAAACAGATAGTGGCCATTTAATGCCATAGATTAGCGTCAAACATTGAAGCATTATTTTTACACATTTTGAACACCCCCTTCCATACGTTTACGAACCGCAAGTCTCATTTTCTATCACTTATCAAGGTGTCACTACAGTAGATACCACTTCCGGTGTTTTTTAATACTTTGAAAATGAAGTAATGTCAAAGCCAATGGTATTTATAGTCAGTCTAGTGCATGTTCAGTGGCCATTTGAGGTATTTATGTAAAGTTTAGAGCAAGAACTTTCTTGAACCATTCTTAGAATAAATTGCAAGAATATAGTCCCGCGAACTGTAACTACTTGAATTTTAACCGGCGAAGTATGGATATTATTAAATGAGTCCTTACGTTGGCGAAATGATATTTAAAAATCGAGACGCAAAATCTATATGTTGAATATACATGTAGTGTGAAGATGAAGGTAATATATAGGGGAACGCAGAAATATAGTCATTATATGGGCTTATTTGCTCGAAAATGGCGATATATAACCCAAAACTTGAATTTTGTGATTTTTTCGCTATATATCAATGAATTACCGTCGTGACACCAAACAGTCATATCATTTTAAAAGATAGCAGAGAGATGAGTGTTTCTACATTTTGGCCTGTGTGGCTTGCTCTGAACAATGACAATTTGTTATAATTAAATATAAAGAATTTTTCTGCTCAGTTGACCATATACCTTGAACAAATTTGAATTCATTTTAGTCGTAGATTACCATGTTAATCTCTTCACTTGGCATCACATATCACTTGTAAGAAGGGAAATACGTTGACTATCAGTCTGTTAATTCCTTATCGCTCCGAACATGGCGAACTCCAGGCTTATCGTGGCATAATGTCCTTTTACAGTTGGCTGCGTGAATGTTGAAATCGACGAATGACTACTTTGCCATTGCAACCAGACAGACTTGCCCAACGAAGTTAGGATTAAACATAAAATGAAGGTTAGATGAGCGCTTATGTCAGCCTCAGTTGTTTTAACTGAAACATTATATTTATAAAATAGTGTTAAGCACGCGATAGGCGTCGCAAAGGTTTAACTGTCCAACATCATCATGAGACTATCATGTTTGCTAATTTTACTGGAGATAAGCACCGTCTGAAAGTTGGGAACATCATCGCTACTATGTAGAGGTACTTGGTGCCGAATGCAATATATGTGTGCACGGATTCTTTTGATTTAAATGCAACAAGTTTGAAGAAAAAATGAAGAATCTGTATTAAAATTCACAATAGTTATATAAAGGATTTGCACCGATGAGCTAAACTAATCACTATACGCTTAAATTGATAAACGAATCCTTTCTTGTTTGGCCAGTTAGTTTCCCAGATCATTAATTATATAAAAAAAACTATAACAAGCATAGATCAAATGCAGATGATAATATATCGAATAAAGTCTGAGAAGTAATCCTGCGCTGAACAGAAAGGCCAGGACGTGATAGATGTGTGGATTATAGATGGAATCGAATCCATTAACTATACTATTGAAATAATTGCAAGTAAGACAGATTGGTAATGATAATATCTATTGAATTAAAAAAGAGTTCCCTGACACAAAACAAACAAAAAACCATTGGTAAAATACGTCCTTGAATCGACATTCTTGATAAAGTATCCTAGCTTCGGAAAATGGCGCACGACAATACATAATGAGGTCAAATTGGCCCAATTATTCTCATTGGCGAACAATGCATTGACTTCTGATATACATCTATAACGTCAGTCCTTTGTATGACATTGAACGTCAAAATTGAGAGCATAGCTACTGACACACACATACTCCCCACACTAGATGGCGACTCACAAATTGTTACTGATGCAAATCTGTTCGATAGATGGCGTATCACACTTTGTTACTGACGCAACATTCCAAGCTGTTGGGAACTCATACAGACGCAATATTGCACATTAGATGGCGATACACACGTTGTTACTGGCCAAAAACTTCACACTAGATGGCGTTTCACACATTCCAAGCTGTTGGCGACTCATTCCGACGCAAAACTGTACATTATGGCGACCCACACGTTGTTACTGACGCAAAACGTCACGCTAGATGGCGTTCCACAAACTCCAAACTGTTGGCGACTCATACTGACGCAAAACTGTACATTACGGCGACTCACACGTCGTTACCGACCCAAAACTAGAGGGCGACTTGCAGGTAGTAAATGACTGCGGCAAAACTGCACGCTAGATGGCGACTCACAAGCAGTTTCTAATATAACTATTCAAAAAACTAACATGATCATATGGCAGTTACAGAGAAACACCAGAGATGTCATGTATAACAACGTTGTGACGCAACATTACATTATTGCACAGCATCATGAAGTTGATGCATGCTTGGTAAAAGGTTCTTGAAAGTTCTGAGACTATGACAACCTTGCGTGCTATTGTCTAAGAACTGATGGATAAGTAAGTGTGATGGCTAAACAATACATTACTTTGATAAGAGGAAGTCGATTGTCTTACCCTCCTTTTAATCTATCACCTTCAATTATCTCTTGACATCGCCTTTTAAATCTATTGTTAGTTCAAAAATATTATGTCATTGTTATTGTAAGCCATCAATTTGAATCGTTATGAATCATGTTGTAAGATGCCCATTGTTCTAGGATCTCATAATTATATAAACTTGTTTTTCTTCAAGTATCAGAGTTCCATAATCATGTCGGTTTAAAACCTGCTCCCTAGATAGTAGATACTAGTACATTCCCGTACAATATACCTACTGTAGTACCTCATCAGATGGAATACGAGTATTTATAGCCCTGCTATAACTCATTTGTATCTAGGCAATTAATTTGATAGGTATGTTACACTTGAAGATATGTACAAGTTATTCGAACCAATTACAATGTTATTGTACTATCTACTGATCCATGAATAAAATGTCAGTAAAGGCAAATTGAAAGTGTATACATTATTCAAACAACTAGATTAACAACTATCTCAATTAACTCTCTGGCACATTTCTTAGCAATTTATTCATGACACGAGTGTTGACTTTGTTATAAAGATAATCCACTAGGAATAAATAAGTAAACCACTGACGACAAGTCGTAAATTCCTCACTTAATCATGGAAAATGTTATTGTTGTTGTCCGTTCTTCAATCACCGACAGTAAATGTATAAAAAATCATTGATAAATACTCAATTGCGGTACTTGAGTTTATCGTGTACAAGGCCTAAATAATTTTTCAAGACACATTGTTAAGAAGCGGCCGGGCAACCATGCTATATTTAAATATGAACCAAAACCGAAATGGCAAAACTTCAGTTATAACTTAGATATCTATATGACATTTGCAAATTATGGTGCTCCTTTGAGCAGAGACATAGAAATATGTCTCTGCTTTGAGACAAGACGCCATTTTGAAAAATAAATGTAATATTGTAGAGACACCTTACTTTCAGACAATATGCTACATGTATTTACTGCCTACTGAACTAAAAAACGAAAAGTTGTGCTGGCGTTATTTCGATTATTATGTAATCAATTAATTCTTTTTGTACATCTACTTCCAGAATTGTAGCCTCAAAGAAGACAGCAGATCTTTCACCCACAACATTGGAATTGTTTTTTTTCCAAAGTAATTGGAATGTTTAACATAACAAATAATATAAGTGCCACTAGAATGGATAGACCACATTATCTTAGTCACGAAATAACGAATATGGATGTTATTCATACAATTGATACCGAGGCTTCGAAACACTTCAACAGCGCCATCTATTCTATGAACGCCACAGAAGATCCAACGCTATCTAATGACCTTGATGGAACATGCGATTGGCAAGACACAGAGCTCAGAATCAAAATACAGTTCATAACTCGAGGAATTATAATTCCAATAATTTGTGTTGTTGGGATTCTAGCGAATATCGTCACTCTAGTTATCTTTACTCGGCCGCATATGAGAAATGTCACAACAATGTTTCTGGTGGGAATGGTTATAGCGGATTCCAGTGGCCTCATTACCCTACTGGTCTCGTTCACATACTTTTACAGTTCTTACAAATGGCTATGGTTGGAAAATCGTGATGTCCGATGGCTTGCACAAATCCCGATTGCCTGGAAGTTATTTTACGCAGTATTTAACATTCCAACTAATGTTTTCCTCACAGCATCAAATGCGTTAGCTTCTGGGGTGACAATCTTTAGATATGTGGCTGTAAGGCTGCCATTAAAAGCGAACACTTTCTGCACTCCCCGCAAGGCCCAAGTGACAATCACGCTTATATTTGTTTACTCGCTTGTTCTCAACATTCCGGATTGTTTTATGAAGACAGTGAGGCCCATCAAGCATCTAAATATGACATACCAAATTATCGAATCGACTGAATTTTACTCCAACAAACTGTTTAACAATGTATATTATCCAACGAGGGTTGTCCTTAATATATTTCTCCCTTGGTTCATGTGTTTTGTGCTCAGTACGTCACTGTTAATGTCCTTGAGGAAAAAAGTCCGCGGAAGCCGAATGGAATCAAGGGCGTCTGCTCAATATAGAAAACTTAGAAACAGTAGAAGACGGCGAAATGACCGAATAACGATCACAATTATCGCCGTGAACGCGTCATTCATTATCTGCCAGGGACCCGCCGTTGTTTTGAATATATTAATGTTAAAATTTCGAGATCGTGATGAATTATATTGCGATAATTTTGTCATAGCAACGTGTATTTGCGATCTCTTTTTAGCCCTCAACCTTGCCCTCAATTTCTTTTTATACGCGGTTGCTCACGTTGAGTTTAGAAAGGCAGTCAAGGCTTTTATATCTGTTCTTTTCACAAGGAAGACGTCCTTGACTTCCATTACTGGCCTTTCTATAACACTCAACACAATGACTCCCCATTCCTCCACTAGTGACTTTGAAAAGAAATACGAGGGGTATCCAAGAAGTTCTAGTGTTAATGATCTCTGATTTGAACATATCGAATACAAAGATAAACGACTATTTATTTTTAATTGTTTTCGATTTATTTATTTTTGTACTTAAACTCACAAAAGTGACTTAAGCAGTGGCTATTTAAGGTACATATTGTAAAAGTACGTACGATCATACATGTATTTTAATGGTGTCGTATTGTAATGTTGATGACAATATAGTACATATGTTTATACACTAACAAATGGCTTTGTATGGATTTAATATTTGCACATGTTGCTTTGTCAACTTATCCTTTGAATCAATCACAGCAACTTCGTAAAGTTAAAAATTCCCAACTCATTGTTCTCTAACGATTAATCGATTTAGGGAACTTTACAGAGTTTCTGCTAATAACCCTCAGGAATTCATTGTCCTTTAATGATCAATGCCTATATGGAAAATATGACCATGGAATGGGATGCTAATACAATAGTCGCATAGTTCAAGAGCTAATGCCCTCCTAATGTGTGAATCTTAATTGGGAGCGGGATGGTAAACCCCCGGGGTCGAAATATTACCGGCTCACGTGTAACTTAACCTCTCTTTTATCAGGCAAAATACCTCTGGCTCTATTTGTCATCATAGATTGTGTTTATTAGTAGTTGGGTCGATCCAGATCATCATAGACGCTGGATAAACGACTTTGTTAATCGAAGTTAATTAGGTTGTTTGAAACATGACGTCATCAAACCTCTGTGATCTCGACGTATTGAAATGACAATCCATCAATTAATTGAACAAAGCAACGACAACTGAAAAGATTAAAATATGACAGCTACATCATAAACACCCGTGAACCAAAGCAAAGGGAATGTAAAGTGACACATTACATTTTAAAATGGATCTACAAACGAATCAGGAATAGGAGAGTACAATGCAGCGATAATGAAAATGCCATCACGAAAATTGTTGAAATACTTCAAGAAACCAGTTAAATCCATTGAGGGGTTTGAGTTACATCTTGGGCCATCTTCTTTATTACGAATATTGCCGAAGATGCTTTGAGGAACCAATCGAATTTCTTGAAGGGTTAAGGCTACATCTTCGACCATCTTCGTTGGTGACCAAAACTCCAAAAAAGAATGATGAAGACACAATCAACCACAACGTTTTCCCTCAAAATCCATGATTGACAGATGGCTTTATCAAAAGTTCTTAAAACTAATATTTGACATACCTTGGGAAATGGCGGGAAATTCAAATAATTAAAAGGCAAAAGGCTTTACGCTTTCCATTTATATTTTTTTGGAAAATGTCTAAAGCAACTTTTTCATTCAATTTGAAAAGCCTATAGCTACATTGAAATATATTTTCAAACTTTGTTAGGGCCTTCAATGTAATTCGGATTTATACACATTTACTCCAATAGGCGTATCTCTTATTATTAGATTGGATACCTTCTCATCAACGTGCAGTTTGCTATCATTTACAAGTACAAAACTGTTATAGATTGATCACCAGCTTGATCGTAATCACGGCATGTATTCAGATTTACAAAGCCCCCTCTTAGATCTCCGAGATTATATTATCCCATACTTGAAATAAGATGTTTTATTACACCAAATTATACGGAAAAAATTTAACCTGATATAATACAAGCGGTCATTTCAGTATATATTGCATTACTTCACCTTCTATATTGCTGTATCTACGGTAATAATTCCTATGATTTTCATAGCTTTTCGCAGTGGTTATAGATTGATCACCAGCTAGCTTGATCGTAATCATGGCATGTATTCAGATTTGCAAAGCCCTCTCTTAGATATACGAGATCTCATTAATCGCACAGAAAATGCAACACTCTGATTTTAGAGTAAGCGGTTCCTTGTTTTTGATGATATCCTGATAATAAAAACACGATTCTTGTTAAGATTCTGTAAAGAAGGATATCGTCTATCTTTGACTAATTGCTTTGAATGACCGCTGAATGTTTTTATCCTTTGTGCAGTAACTTGAGAAATGAATTACGATACAAATACAAAAACAATACGTAACATCATCGAATGAACATGAATCTCATACACTGCTACACAAGAGAATTTGAACCTCTCGGACGAAACAGGGATGATATAAATGTAATTAGTACATCAGTAGAGGAGCCAAACTCAAAAAGTATATATACCAAATAAAAATTGAACTCGAGTATTGTACACGACCTGTATCAAATTGACATTCGCATAACAAGTTCTCTCACAAGTTCAAAATCACCAAGGTATCAAACGACCTCTATACGTACTATATGACCTATTTCAAAATGACTAACGTTTGATTTAGAATGACGTACTATACTTTGAGTAAGTTTTATATCACAATCCCATCTGAATTGAACTTGAAAGTGATCAAGACCTGCCAGAAATAATGAATTGCAATCGTCAATATTTTAAGCGTATGCCATAGCTGATATATACATTTCTTTTTAGAGACAATAGGGAGGTTGAGCGACACGTTTTGAAGTGAACTTGTACGAGAACGTATAATTTCACAATCCCTTGGGATAACTGGATCCTGAATTATTTTTAGGGGTCTAATTAAAGCTATTTTCCTCATACCATTAGACTAAATCGGGAAAGTAAATACTTCGAAGAACTTACTACTTAATACTTCGAGAACGTGGGCCTATTTACATAAATAAAAATACCATAAGTATTTTGTACTTTTAGAGTATTCATAATTAAGTTAATTATTCTGAAATAACTCAAGTAATTCTGTTAGTAAACGGGGATTTTGCGGATTTGGTTTAAATTGCAGAGAAAATCCTTTTCGATCAAATGAATGTCTCTGCGCTCCTTTGCTCAGCAAACTTGTCGAGTTTTTGTTTATTTCTAAACGTGTATTTTGGGTAATGAGCTAAACATCCCAGTAAGAGGTTAAGAAGCAAATTTCCAATCGTGTATACGGAGTAAGGAGACGCACCTCCCCTGGGTGGGTCCAGAATTTTTTTTAAGGGCACCAAAAATAGGCCCAAAAACATCGTTGGGCCTCAAAAATGGGACTTTTTTTGTAGAGCTTGCAATCTGCCCCTCCCTTGTTAGCTCCTGGATCCTCCAGTGTACACCTTGTTTGTAGGCCAAAGGGAAAACATTAAATCATAACAATGTCGTAAAAGAGTATAACCTATAATCTAGAGGAATGAAAAACTCCCGATTGTACTCGGTAATCACGCAACCCCTCTTAAATTACGGCAATCGGATGTTCTCTTTCGGACCACGTATTAAAGCCTGATTGTGTAGTTTAAATATTTTATCAAGACTGTCTTTGTCATAAATCTGCGTCCCATCGTTCACGACGAACACAATAAAGATTCAACTAATCCAATATAAGCAGGTACTTAAATATAACCCAATGGGGTCTTCTGGTTGTCAAGTACATTCATGGGGATGTGTGCTAGCTTCTGTAAACAATCTCTGACTTAATTATCTAGCCTCTGGGGATCCGGGGGTGGGATTGGAGCAAACCTCCTCACGGCCAACCAATTTATTCAAAATCCTGCAGTTTCAAAACACCTTTCTAAGTAAAGGGCCAGATTAAAACTCCCACCTAGATTTTTTTAAAACTGTCAAAAGCTGGCTATGGGTCCGATCATGTATTTTTGTAATTTCATATTCCTAGACCTAGGGGAAGGAATTTATTAAAAGTATTGAATAACTTACACGATAAGGGTTGCTTTAATTGATGAAATACTTAATTAAGGAATGACAAAGCAAATCAAATGAACCAGCATAAATACAATCATATCTCAAGCAATTTGTAACAAACAAATATCTAAACATGTCTGATTGTGTTATATATTCTTTTGATTCATTATGGTATTGTTTTTGGTGATGTATCTAAACAAATTAATTGAGTTAGTAAAACATTTATGAGTGTACAATATTGAATTATTTATAGCGTCGTGATGATTGACAAAAGTTGTGTTTCCAAGTTTTACAGTATCGTATGATTGTACGCTGCCTTTATTATTGTCCACCAAGTCCTGGCTGGAGCTCGTCGAGGGTTTATTTGTCAAAAAAACGTTGCTATCGGTACCATACCATCAAATTATAAGGGTTTTGGTATTGACGAAATGCATTCAGTTTTGTTGGGTCATTTTCACGGGTTTTCTAGATCTCTATCACCTTTACGATAAGATAAGGTGACCTTTCCTGCTCGTAGCGAATCAGTCCATAATTATTAACGGCATTATAATATTTCTTAATCAGGTGGCTGTAGTTAGGCTCGATATTCTTCCATTTTAGGCATATTTTTACAAAATTTCATTTTTACATTTCAGGCCATGAAATAAATATGCGCTCTTGTTCCTCAGGATGAAGGGACAAGCATCACATTCTGTACGCTAATTGGATAGATTCTTACAGAAGGGGTTAAGTCATTGATAAATATCTGACAAGGTAACACCGACAGCATCAGAGAAAACACTTTTTATTTGCAAAAGTAAGGCCACCCTTGGTATACGCAGCTAACGAAAATTGACCGGTACGGGTCAAAAGCTGGACCGGTACGGGTTAACGGTTTTATTTGAATTTAAAACAGCCATAACTTGCTCAATATTGACTTCCTCGTGTCTAATTTGAAATATATGATGCCTCTCGATGCTTTTAAGTACCCCAATTTTTTACAGATTTTTAAACGGACCAAAACTCTCTAAATGCGCATTTATGCTCTTTTCTCTCGAGAACGACTGTCTCATTTTCACGATAACGTTTATTTAGTACTTCTGACATATAAGATCTATTTTTCCCCATCAAGGTATGATGTAAATGGCATGCTATTTACATCTTGTGAGTTTCAATGATGCGCGTCTGATTTTATAAAAATGCCAAACTTTGTGACAAAGAATTTCATCAGCTATTGCCCCGAACCGGTCCGTCTTCTCGCTGCAAACAGATTGCCCCGAACCGGTCCGTCTTCTCGATGCAAGCAGGATGAAATTCTTTGTCACAAAGTTTGGCATTTTTTATAAAATCAAACGCGCGTCATTGAAACTCACAAGATGTAAATAGCATGTCATTTACATCATACCTTGATGGGGAAAAATAGATCTTATATGTTAGAAGTACTAAATAAAAGTTATCGTGAAAATGAGACAGTCGTTCTCGAGAGAAAAGAGCATAAATGCGCATTTAGAGAGTTTTGGTCCGTTTAAAAATCTGT